TGCTGACTACTTTTCGCAGAATGGTCGATTCCTGACTGCGGGCGAGACGATCGGCGGTCTCTCCGAGAAGGCTGCGAATGCTCTTGGCTTGCCCGTCGGAGTCGCAGTTGGTAGCCCTGTCATCGACGCCTACGCCGGCTGGATCGGTACTGTTGGTGCCAAGGTCAACCTCCGGGAGGAGTATCTCAGCAAGGAAGCCGCCTCGAACAGCGTTCAGCAGGCCTTCACGCGTCTGGCCGCCGTAGCCGGCACCTCGACCTGCCATCTAGCCATGAGCGACAAGCCCGTCTTCGTCCACGGTGTCTGGGGTCCCTACCGCGACGTTCTGATCCCAGACTACTGGCTAGCGGAAGGCGGACAATCCGCCACAGGCGAGCTCCTCAAGCACGTCCTCGAGACCCACCCAGCCTTCCAAGAAGCCATGTCGGTCGCCGAGACCTTCAACGCCAACATTTACGACTACCTCAACGAGCACCTCCGCGAAATGCAAGAGAAGCTCAACGCGCCCACCGTCTCCTACATCGGCCGGCACTTCTTCTTCTACGGCGACCTCTTCGGCAATCGCTCACCCATCGCCGACCCGGACATGAAAGGCAGCGTCATCGGGCTCAGCAACGACCGCAGCCTAGACAATCTCGCCCTCCACTACTACGCAACGCTCGAATTCATCGCTCTGCAAACCCATCAGATCGTCGAGTCGATGAACGAAGCGGGCCACATCATCTCTTCCATCTTCATGTCCGGCTCGCAGTGCCAGAACCCCATCCTCATGGAACTCATGGCCACAGCCTGCAGCATGCCCGTCCTCATTCCGCGCTACGTGCACGCGGCCGTTGTGCACGGCGCCGCCATGCTAGGCGCCAAAGCCGCCAGCACAAACAAGGAAGGCGAGAGTGAGAGCCTATGGTCGATTATGGACCGGATGAGCAAGCCGGGTAAAGCAGTCTACCCTAACAAAGACGCGGGCGAGAAGAAGTTGCTCGAGGCCAAGTACAAGGTATTCCTCGAGCAGTGTCAGCAGCAGAGGCAGTACCGGAAAGATATCGACGCTGTTGTGGCGGACTGGAAGAGGAAATAGAGGGGCAGGTAAGATCAAATCAAGTAAGCTTATGAGCCTGTTCTTCTGCGATGTTGAAGAGGAGAAAAGTAAAAGTCGTCTATACGAGAGTACGAGCAACGAGATGGAACCATTTTAGGTGAAGGCTGAGCCAAATAGCCTGTTTTAGATGAAGGACGGATAGGGTGGAGAGGCCTTGTGTAGTGTGTAAAGGGTATTCTAAATACCTCTTCAATCTAGCCGGAGAACGCAGTAGGGTTCTCTCTCCAATGCTGCTTGTCAGGAGGTGACCTTGATGGAAAGTTTGGACCGTAATGTACTTTACCTACTTCTCACTTTTCGAACTGCGGCTGGCAAAGCACGAAGAGTCGAAATAGTGATCGAAGTTCAAAAGAGATGAAAAAGGAAGAGAAAAAAAAACAAAAAAAAAAGGTCAAGTCAGGCTGGCAGCACAATGCCTCTAAGACTCTAAGGGGCCCAAAGAGCACCGACGTTTCCTAGTTCACAGCGAAGAGTCTTCATCACTGCCTTACTCAGAGAAGCCGGCTTGCTTTCGTACACGCGCGTGAGGCAAGTAAGGCAACGTAAGGTCAGGTAAAGGCACTTTATAGATGGAAACTCGATTGAAATCTCACCAACGGCTTGCTACACAGCCAAGCTCGCCTTCCAACAAAAAAAATTGTTGTACCAAGGATCACGGGAGAATAAGGAGGCCAACTGAGAAAAGTGCCGAGTTTGGCTCGTCTGGGACCCTGAAAAGGGGCAGGCGAGGAGGAAGAGGCCAAGGAAAGAGGATCAGAACATAAGAGAGAAGGAAAGCAAGTTTGCGGTCTGTCGTCGTCGTCGATTTGGATTAAACTGAATGGCTGGCTGGCTGGTCGCTATTGGTACAAGAACATGCTGCCCTCTTGCCTTCTTTTTCCATTTGCGTCCGCCATCGCAAAGACTGGGCAGACATTCCTCCCGTCCTTTTCTCCCGTTGCCTATATTACAGAGAATGCAAAGCTTTTTCCATCAGACCCAGCTCCATTAACTCATTACTTTATTTCAAAGCCACTCTACTTCTTCTCCGCTTCACCCTTGGCCTTGCCCGCAACCTGTTCGAGCTGATCGGAACGCTTATCCAGTACCTGAAGCAAGTCATGCAGGGTGTCCTTTGCCAGCTGCTCGGCCTCATGACCATGCTTTTCAGCGACGTCCTTGTATTTCTGCAGGCCGCTGAGGATCTTGGAGCCGTTGGGGACCATGTCGAGCCATTTGGAGAGGTCGGTGGAGGAAGAGGAGGCGAAGTTTTGGGCTTGTTTCTTGGCTCTGTGGACGGGTGAGGTTAATAGATGTTGGGGCATGGTTGAGGGGATGGATGGGTCTTACTGCTCGATATACCCCTCGAGATCCTGCATGCTGCCGCTCTGTACGGCGCTCTGTACCTTCTGCACGGCCTCACCGACATTACCCTGCTTCAGGACGTCGAGGTTCTTCTCTACCAGCTCCTTGACCTTCTCGTTCTTCCCCAGCATCGGCTTCAGCTGCTCATACCCCTTCTGCCATGCTTCATCACCCATCTGCTGCACCTGCTGTATCTTCTCCTCGACTAGCTTGCGAATACGATCAAACGTGTCAAGTTTAAAGCCTCCGCTCAAGATCTTAGAGACCTCTCCCCATGTCTCATCGACCATCTTTTGAGCCTGCGGGCCAGCCTTGTCGCCGAGCTGCTTCAGCTGGTCAAAAGAGCCGCCGAATTGCTGCTTGAGCTGTGGGTGGTTATCAAGGATCGCCTGGCTGGCATTCGCTGCGAGACTAGACAAGCGACCAAGGTGCTTTTGCAGAATCTCCCAGACGTCGCCAAGCATGTCGACGTTCATGCCCTTCTTGCTGGCATCCCGGAGCTCGCCGTAAGCCTCCCGCACGATGTTGTCCACCTCGCCGCCATGCTGCGAACGGATCTTCTCGACGTCGTCGAAAGCCTTGTCGACGTACTCGCGGCCGCCAGGGAGCCAGCGGGCGTACTTGTTGGCGGTCTCTTTCAGGGCCTGAATGATTTCGCTTGGGTTGTCCGGGGTAGCATCTTTGAATGAGGATTTGAGCTGGTTGGTGGAGCTGTCGATGTAGGACTTGGCTTGTTTGGCGGTACCGACGGCGGTGGAGAGGCCGGATAGCTTATACCAGCCATAGAAGACGGCGGTGGAAGCACCGACGCCAATGAGGGCGGCGGTGGTGGTGTGGGAGAGGCCGCCGGCGCCGCCGCTTGATGAGCTGCTGGACGAGGTATTGCTACTCTGGAAGCGGACGTTACGGCGAATCGGAGCGCGGACAGCGGGGGTAGTGGTGCGCAGGGCGCGGGTGCTACGAAGGGCGGAGCGGGCGAGCATGGTGGCGGTAATGATGGTGTGGTTGTAATGGAAGGGCGGATGTGACAGTAGTAGAAAGGAAGAGCGAGAGGAAGGTAATGTGAGGGCACTTACTACAGAGTGCGTCGCTTGATTTTTGTGGACAACGACACTGAGTGAAGGCGTCGGCGACATTCTTGCTGTAGCCATGACGTCCGCATGACAGCTGTGGAGGTCGGCCATGCAGGTACAAAGCAAAAATGAACGTGCGAACTTCGTCGTGTCCAGATGTCCAGATTCTAGACAACTCCACCACGTGCAATCGTATCGCTCATTATCTTTCACTCGTCCATCTCCTATTAACCCATCATTCTGACGTACTGAAGTCGAGGCTCCTCTGATAGGGGGTAAGGTAGACTCGATCGGTATGCGAACAGTGAGCATTTATCGTTGAACACGGTAGCAACATCAACCGGGCAAGAGAAGAGGTCTGAAGCGATCAATGGTAACGCAGCAAGTCGAGGACCGTACGGAACAACAGCGTCTCTTGTCGCCGCCTTCCCACCCTCGAGAGGATGGCGTTTCAGGTGGTGCTTAGTAACGCTACACATATGTTCGAGACGTGCACTTCCAACCTGGTTGATCCGAGGTATCACATTTCGTCGTCCGTAGAGAGACGGTGCAAGCGCACATCTTGGACCCTCCCCAATATCAGACTATCTGACGATGGAGACGTAATGCCGGCCTCTTGATAAGCGGGCAATAGCTTATTTAACTACCGTAGGTACACGCCTTTCTCTCAAGCGGGTTCAATATCTAGAAGAATGTAGTTCACCGCCTGCTGGAAACCGCGTTCCTAGAGCAGCTTAACTTGAGGCAAAAGTGATGGAGCGAATCGTTCTAGCTTTCCAGACGGGAGGCTGCGCACCTATATACCGTATCTGGCCTTGCAGGTCGCTCGTAGGCCGCTCATCGTGGATTTTCACGAAAAGGTATTCCAACACGGTGAGAATGGCACACGCGTTGGGCCCCTTGGCCTGGGGACAGAGGGAAGCGAGATCGCTGCTGCCGTATTGTGATGGGAATCGCGCGACTCTACTGGCAGAGGTGAAAGTTGTGTCCTCTGTTTATAGAGACAACGTCAGGAATCTGATAGACTCTTGATGGCTACCTAGGTCGAATGCCGCCAGTCTCTGATCTCGAGTCGATCTTTCTTTCGATCCAGCTTTCGGCATCTTATTCCCCTATCAGGCCGGACATGGGTAGGTAGGCTGTCCATAGGTATTGCCAGATTAGGTCTCGTTCCATTGTTGGGCTGGTGTCTGGTCTCTGGGCTGGAGCTCCCCACGAGATCTCTGTGGAAGGGGATCCAAAATCACTCAGGGCTGTACCGAAGGTAGCGCGAAGTAGAAACGTCTTGTTTGAATCTCTCCCGTCCTCAAGCGGACCTGGAACGAGAAGTTCACGAACTCTCTACCCCGCGCAAATGGATAGCAAAAATGGTGCAGGATATCATCAAAGCAAAAGAAATCGCACACATGCGCGAGGATTATGTGCTTTGCCCTGGAGAGTACGTTAGTTTAGTTGGAGTAAATTCGCCGAGTGTGCAGAGAGACATACACCACCCCGAATCGAACGAGGGATCTTCTCATTACTAGCTGATGCTACGAGTGAGACGCTGTACCACTAAGCCATGGCGGCTGGATCACGATCTTAGTCATGATTCTCTCGTGCACCGAGTGCTCAATTGAATATATAGTCTGATATTCTTTTCTACACAGCAGCTTTCTCAATCTATTTGCCAAAGATAGAGCCAAAGTCACGCACATTGGACTTGATCAATCCTATTGTCAGAAGGCATCTTGCAATTGCACTGTCGTCTGTCTTTGCTCTGCGCAGGCACGTGGCAGGCAACGATCTGGTGAGATAGGGCCCATATACATTTGGCGACGGCGGCGCTTTCCGCACCTCCGAGAGCTCCCTGTGATGCTGATGCCAAAAAGTTGAACGACCTCTGACAACGAACACAGCACACATTAACAACCACCGTTTGAACTCCACGGCGACTCAAATTCCCGAAGCCCATATCATCTACCGACACATCACACAGAATGCCTCCTAAAGGTGCGATCCGCGGCACAGCAGTCGGAAGGCCCGGCCAGCAAAGAGCAGGATATGCACGCCAGGTCATCGACGAGGTCACGAGCCCGGAGAACAGAAGCGTCGTTACGGCCGTGACATTCTTTGCGGTATGCGCCAACTTTCTGGAGTTGGGAAGACGATGGGAAGAGTACGAGCTGACTGGGACTGCTAGGCCGGCGTCGCGTTTCTACACAGCAGCTGGAGCGAGATCTTGCTCCCGCCGTGAGTATCACGACTGAAGAACTTAGAGGGTAGGGTTGTATATGCTGAGTCTTTCGGCAGTCTTTAGATCATACAGTCCTACAGCGACGCAAACGAGGGGCTAGCGGGACAGGATGTACCATACAGACGGCGAGGCGGCATAGCGAGGCGTTCGAAGGCGGGATATGTACAACACTGTGATAGACTCACAGCTCCGACCGTAGCAAAGGCTGCTCTAGTGGTTGCGTAAACACGACTGGACAGCGTGCAGCATCACAGCACGATGGAGCCTAGCTGCGCGCGAGTCAATGAGACTTTTCAACTCTGCATCTTCCAAGTGCATCATGTCTTTTCTGCTGGACGCTTCTTCCCTGCGGTGGCTATTGCGATTTTCGTTATTGGAGCGTTTGAAGAGCACAGTTCATCACGACTGGACTGTACTACCTGGTAACTTCGCGGTTTCTGACATGCTCGCTGGTCTCTTCGATTCACCACCGCACTATGCATTACGACTTTCAGGTTTCTCGTCATGTGAACTCGCACACCTGCGGTGTGACATCGAATGTGCCGACTTGCCTATGGCGTCGAACAGTCGCCAGATAACCGGCCGTATGCGGCAATTGCACAGCATGCAGAAAAGCCAAAGCACGACGGCGTCAGAGGAGAGGGTGGTGGGCTTGGACCCTGGCTCTCGCCCACTCGATCGCTTTATGGACCTGTTGCCGTGCATACCTAACAAAGGAATTACCCATGCGACTACTCATACATGTGCAGCGCATGCAGGGTAAAATTGGAGTTGGACTTACCTAGGTACGTTAATGGAGATCCCATGGTAGGTCTCAGCCAATATAAAGGCCGTTGCGATCCGCATCAACTTCTCAGACTCTTTACTGTTCCCAGTTCCTAAAGCGACTGCACGCTGTACTACCGTTCAAATGCTCTACACCGCTATATACACAGTCCTATGGGGCCTTGTCGGGCTTACCGCCGCGCAGGCACCGAACACCTTGGCCAACGATAACCCGAACTTGCGTACCGCATCCTACAACGCCAGTAAGTCTAAGCCAGCTCTCCGGTTCAAAAAGAAGCATTTCTGATCCCCTTCAGCATTCTTCATCGTCTCCGTCCCGAAAAGCACAGCTCAGGCTCTTGTACCAACCTACAGCCTTCTCCCCGTCCCCTCCGACGACGACTCGATCTTCCCCAATGGCTTTCCCGCCGACCAACATCCTCTGCTCGTGGCGAGCGGCTTGCAGAACGACATCCGCATCACAGCCGGTGTTCCACTGCAGATCCAGGCCCTGCTCGGTGCTCAGTACTCCGTCCCGTACGTCGACCGTCTAGGCAACGGCAAAGACGCCTTCCAGTATCAACTGAACAACTACATCGGCGGTTTGGATGGTCAGAACACCATGAGCTTGGTCCCGGGTCCGCAGATACCCTTCCCCAAAATCACTCCTCATCGTGCCACCTAAATAACCTCTCCACAGCACTCGTCGGAACCGTCGCAGGCACGCCGGCCGTCCCAGCCACGTACGATCCGAACGACAAGGCCTACAACGTCTACCCCACGGACGAATATAGCGTCCTCGTGAAGCAAATCGGCGTCTTCAACGCCCTATCCGGCCCCAGCGTGCAAGGCGAAGCCTTCGACCTCTACTCCAGCAATACGCCCACAACGACCTACACCCCTAAAGCCTTCAAAGCCATGAACAACCAACCCTTGATTCTCCAGGGTCTCGTCTCGACGATGTGTCTGCGGAATAATTATTATTTCAATGATACGCGGTTTATGGAGCCGGTTCTTCGATCGGGGTCGGTGACTTTTGGCTCGGCAGTCAAATCGGAGCTGAAGGGCCAGGTGTATGAGGATCAAGGGGCGTTCGCGGCGGTGGCGCAGATTTTGGGGCATAATCCGGAGAGCTGCGAGGATGCTATCGCGAAAAATGATCCGGCTGTATTGGAGTAATGACGGAGAGTGCACATGCGTAAGATGCATGGGGTATCACATAAGAAGCCCCACAGTTGAACATCCTGTCCAGTACAAACGCTTTGCCGCAACTTTCCAGTGCTAACGTCAAGGCGTATGCTTCTGGGTCGAAGTTGCCTTCTCGAACTCGAGGAATGCCCTCCCTCTGAGCGAGCTCGAGCTGTACGCATGACATTGTGAAGAGTGCAAGGCGAGGACAGGAGAGGCCAGGTGGCGTAGTATGTCCAGTTGACGCTTGTAAATACGTCTAAACTTCTTAGCCACAATGCCGGAGACATGTTCCATCTCTGCTCACGACAGGTCAGCATCGGCTTGTTGGACAAGTATTTCCATTGGTGAAGAATCCACTCACGAAAGGACAGGCCCCTGACATGGATCACAGCGATTGACAGGGCTTCGAGGGTAGTAGCTATTCCAACTTCCGGCAGCCGCACCTGTCCCTTCGCAGTATTGCCTTGTATACGTAGGCGCTCTTTGCTGTGTCTGCGGCTGTGTACCATTAGGGTACTGCTGAGACGATTGGTCCGCCGAGGTATATGAGAACCCTGTCCCTGACGTCGTTGCTGGATACTCGCTGCCTGAATACTGTGTTGTCCCAAAGCCTGCCCAGGACAGCGAATTGTGCGAGTGACTTGTCGTCGGGGAGTACCTATACACGAAGCTTGCGTGATGACGGTCATCTTCCCACCCAGTAGGAGCTTGTGGCTGAGACGGTGACCAATGTTGTGACCCGCTCGATGCTGGAGAGACCGGTGTCGCGGGATGAGGCTGTTGATACGTGTAATTGCTCATTGGATGGGGCTGCTGATACGAGTAATTACTCATTGGAGTTGGCGACAAGATCAGACGGTTCTGAGAAGGGGCCATTCCTCCGGTACTATTTGCCGGGCAGACATGTGGTGGTGTCCCATGAGGGACATAGCTCATAAGCCTCTTGGGAGAGGTACAGCGGCACCATCTCTGGGCAGAGGAGGTCCTCAAAGTAGGGTCAGGATCGCAGTATGAGTAGTATGAGCAATAATGGCAGTTGGATTGCTCGTAAGAAGGTGGCTGCTGCGGTGTTGTTACAGGACGGGGCTGGCCTGGTCGTGGTCGGCGGGGAGGGTCTTGTGTACCGCCTTTGCGTACAGTACCGCTGCTCTCAACCGCTTGGGGTGCTGTAAGTGCATTCTTCACCTTATGCATTGCGGCCAGGGCAGTGTTGAGCTCCTTCGACATTGCTTGCTGGCGCCTGGTTCAGGTATCTATCTTCGATGTCCAGCTGAGTTTGCTGTGTAGAAGTCGACTGCAGACGTGTTTTTTCAGGAACGAAGGACGGCTAAGGAGCAGTGTAAGCCTCGCCTTCGGCTGTGGGGTCGCTTTCTCTCAGGGCGTTGGAAGGCCGCACTTCTGCGTTGGCTGGCCATTTAGCGAAAGGAGTCATGCTGACGGTGCAGCAGCCAATTACAGGCGACGTCTAACGCCCAAGTGTCGAGATCAGCCTCGAATCGTTGCCTTCGTCTGACGGTCCCCGCACTCATCCTTTTGCTCATGCAGTGCAGTGTAGATCGCAGGTTGATTGGCTATCTTGTGATTGGTGGTACTTCGATGCCTGAGCGGTGATACGGTGATCGTTGCTAGCCATCATCACCATCTCTGCTACCCTCTTCACGGCGTGGGCATGGCTTGCCGCAGGAAACAGACCATTCGAGATTTTGGCAGCGTTCGCGGCCTACATGGCTGTGCTGATGATCTATCGTCAGCTTGCAAGTGGCGGTGTTAATTGACACCGTTCAGCAAGGCTTGTCGTTCGTTACGATCTGGTAAGATATGCGGCTCAGTGTAATAGCCACAGAGGGAGCCTGAGGGGCGACAGGGTTCACCATGACGAAGAGTCTTGAAGCAAGTGAGGTCTGGGCGAAAGGTCTTCGGAAAGGGCGGAGGAGAGATGAGGACTGTCAATTGTCTCTCAGAGACGTAGGCAGGTTGTTCCTTTCAAGCCGTTCTCTTGGGGAACTACGAATGGAGCGTAATGGTTGTTTCGGTAGCAAGAAGTGTTGTGCGTTTACGATTAGGATATTCACCAACGAGACTGGGTCTCATCTCCACGTCCTCCGCACATACCTAACCTCTTGAAGCCTCTTGACTCGCTTGCTTCTCGTCCCTCTCTCTTCCTCTTCATTCGTTCTTACTCGTCCCTATCTGTTCCTCATCCCCCTCTCTTCCTCATCCCTTCCTTTCATCTCGCCGTTCCTCTCCCCTAACCCCTCTCTCAAGTCTACTAGAGTTCAGCCCGCGAACCCGTTTCTTCTCGCGAGGAAGACAGCAGTATATCTCGAACCATTCACCCAACCCAAAAGATCCAACCCAGACGACCGGATCCGGCCAT